CCAAGGGTTCTTATAGGAAATTTCTGCCTTCTGGCTATTGACTAAACGTCTTGGCTGAAGCTAGGATAAAGGAGTTGATAGTCTTAGCTTTGTCAACCTAGGTGTGAGAGCAGTCTAAATAATAATAATAATAATAACAACAACAACAACAACATTTATTTGTATCCCGCTTATTGCCAGACAATCCAAGCGGCTTACAATAAAACCCATATATGCATTTGGTTTCAAAACTATCAAGAAAGGGAGGCTAGAGAAAAGGGTGCAGTCAAATCTGATCACTGCCCCATTAAGTGTGAGACTCAAGACAAATAAGCACTGTTATGTGTCTTTTCCAGTATAATGGTTTTTCCCTTTTGGCAACTCCCAAACCTGTCTGGTAGGGAATTTTCCATCTGTTCTGGGCAGATCTCTCAGTGCCTACATGACCTGCCATCTCAGGGATTATGGCCAACATCCCTCAGAGGTCAGTTCAGGGTCATAGAGGGAACTCCACATGTGTTCAATATTTTATGAAAAACCACATATGCTAACAGCCTCTAGATTAAAATCTGAGTCCAGGAGTACACCCAGATTGCGAATCTATGACTCCAGCGGGAGTGTAACCCCCTAACACAGGCTGAACCAATATTCCCTGATCTAACTTTTGGCTGACCAAGAGCATCTCTATTTTATCTGGATTTTCAGTTTATCTGCCTTCATCCAGTCCATTACTGAAGATAGACACTGGTTTAGGATCAGGACAATCTCCTTGGATTGATACATAGATGCATAGATACATAGAATCATAGAGTTGGAAGAGACCCCAAGGGCCATCCAACCACATTCTGCCATGCAGGAATACACCATCAAAGCACCCTCGACAGATGGCCATCCAGCCTCTGTTTAAAGACCTCCAAAGAAGGAGACTCCAGCACTCCCTGGGGGAGTGCGTTCAATTTTCAAACAGCTCTTACCTTCAGCATGCTCTTGCTAATGTTTAGGTGGAATTTCTTTTCCTGCATCCGTTGTTCTGGATCCTATTCTCTGGAGCAGCAGAAAACAAGTTTACTCCATCCTCAATATAACATCCCTTCAAATATTTAAACAGGGATATCATATCCCCTCTTAACTGTCTCTTCTCCAGGTTAAACATCCCCAGCTCCCTAAGTCGCTCCTCATAAGGCATGGTTTCCAGACCCTTCACCATTTTGGTCACCCTCCTCTGGACACACTCCAGCATCCTTTTGAGATGGAAAGGAACAGTAGTTGGGTATTGTCTGCATAATGATTGGATGGCAGTGCAAAACTCCAGACAACCTTTCCCAGAGGCCTCTAGTATGCATTTGTTGTGCTATGTCGCTATCTGGGTTAGAGAAAGAACATCACTCCATCGGTGGGTATGCTGAAATGATGCAGGAGTTTCCATCCTAATTCAAACTGGCATACAAGGGACATGTAAAAAAGATTCTGTTGCTCTCCAAGGGAAATATCAGGCTAATGAGCAAATACATTTGGCCCTCCATTTTTGCAGATCTTTTCCAGACTCCCCCCTCCCTGTGAAAATGGAGATTTGCAAATATCCAAGCCTCCTAGGCTTGAGTGTGGGTGTCCCCCATTGATTTAAACCAG